TTTGGAAATAATTATCTATTTAAATCATCTTAAAGGTTCCCATCAGAGGCCATAAGCAAAAGACAGCATGGCAATGAGACTGAGATCTAAAAGATAATTTGGCTGTTGGGGTGGTGAGAGGAACAGAGAGCCTCAGGCAGCCAGGGTACTGTGACTCTTACAGTTTACTTATAAGCAGTTAAATTAATTTACCAGTAATTCTATACATTGTTAACTAAATTTATTCTCAGAAAACACACAGGTGGCTTAAAAATATCCCTATAGATAAATTAAAGATGAAAGGCATTATAATAGTAGTGAAAGCATGAACAAACAGTAGGAAATGGAGGGAGCTGACACCTCTATTAGGAAGTGCTCTTCAGTAGCCACATTAGGAATTGAAAGCAATGACAATCTGATCCTTTGAAACTTTGAAATTATGAAGACTACTTATAAAATGGATTTACATTAACTTTCATTTATGATGAATGCATTGCCCTAATTTTATTTATTAAAATATTATCTAAAGATTTTAGGGACCCATGATAATTAACAAACTGACATTTTAAAATAGTTTATACCATCTTTATCTCAGCCTTTTTCAATTTCCATTTCTCTGTTCCTTTCATAATATACTTAATTTACTAGTTACTTAATATAGTAGGCCTATTACTTAAAATACTAGGACTGTTAGTACCTTCATATCATTAATGAATAAATAAATACTGGTGGTGCAGTATTTACATTTCACTGAATATACATTCACTGAGTATACATTTTCACTGAAAACCAAATGTTAGAATTAATATGCTCTCAAAGCCAAATATCACCATCATGGATATAAGAATTAAAAAAATTATCAAAAATATTTATTACTTCAGATTCCTGAAATTCTAGTCATTGCTTTTCTGAGTTTTTGTGTTATTGTCTGAGAATAATAATTTCTCAGCACTGTCATCTCCAGATTGTTCCCGCAGTCACTATACGTAGATTCTTACTTCAACTGGTCTACTTAATAATGTCTGAACTTTTCTATGCACTGAAGAACATAACTCAGGAAACAGTTTTTTAGTAGTGTATTTCCTAGACAGAGTTTTATACTAACATCCATAGCATAAGTAAATCATAAAAAGCCTTCATTATCAGCTACTAAAAATGGCTGGCAGTCTGCAGCAATCATTTCAACAGAATTTCTGCTGAAATTCTTAACCGCCATAGCCAGACAACTGTAAAAGCTTTTCTCTTTAAATTGTTGTTATAAAATCTGTTGTTTTGAAGTTTGATTGGTGAGTACAAAATGTGTTTTGGACACCCCGTTTTTCTCTAACAGTCTTCTTTTCATCATATTGTCATGTTCTTTTTTATGTTTCAGTTGAAGATTATTTATCATTGTTGTTTATGTAATCTTGTAGGAATTTTCTTCCTGTAAATTTTGAAGGGACAAGGTCAGCATCCTTCTGTTAATTCATTCTCACTAGATATGAAGAGTTTTCAAAGAAACAGGAAACAGTTTGACAGCTATTTTTTTTATGAGGCAAGTACACCAAATGAATCTACAAAGATTAGAATTATGATTTAATATCTATTAGTATTTTATGATTTAGATTTTCTTAATATTTGTTGCCTCAAAAAGAATATATTTGTCCTTCCAAACTTATCTTCCTAATGCTCATTTAATGTTTATAGTAATTGCCACTTTATTTCCCTATTTTAACTCTTTACTAGTTCTTAAAAATACAAAATAGCAAAAATTAAAACTTTTACAATCATCGTTAATTATTATTCTTCTGGAATAATAAATACTACAGTCATCATTGCCTTAAATCCATGTAAAACCAGGACTACTATAAGAAGTGAAAAGTACAACAGTATGTCAGTCTTTTCCTTTCAATAAATATATAATCAATTAAAATTTCAGAACACTGAGAAAGAAAATAGTGAAAGTGAATTAGTCAGTTGTTCTTTCATAGTGCATGAGAACAACGATTTATAAAAGCCATGCTAAAGAGAAAGGATTTCCAAAAACGAAAGATGTGCTTTCCATTTCTCAATAAATCATAGTGTACACTATTTAAACTGTTAGTGCTGAAACTATACAGTCTCACACAAAGGAAATGCATTCTTCTTCATAGATCTGTTTGGAAAAGAAACTTCTACAGATCAGAAAGTGAGCTTGAGTCAATGTCAATACTTCTTCAACCCTAGAGACTCCAAAAGGCTCTTGAACAAAGTTTTCTCTCCTCCTTGCCTGGGCAGCACATTCTGACTGATCATTACTGACAGCAAAGACTAAGCCTAAAACCAGAGGGGAAACAAAATAGTGGTTTTAGAAGTCTCAGTGTTCCCAAACTTTGATACTATACCCCCATCAAAGTGAGCTTTTAAAATCATGTCTGCTCTCCTTATGTCTGCCTAAATGATCAACTTCTTAAAGAAACATTATAATACTAGAATTAAAATCTCTATAAACTGAATACTTAAAGATCTGGGGTAAAAACCCACTTTAAATTTTAAAGTGAGAAGGAGTTTGTAATTTTCAAAGGACAGAAATAAAGTCTGTGGGTCTAAAATCTAAAGAATAGGGGAGATTGTGGTATAAAATGAAATGAGAAATAGGGGCTAGATCATACAGCAGTCTATAAGCCCTGATAAGAAGTTTGGATGCTATTCTTGGTGAAAGTAGAAGTAATTGGAGGGCTATTTAAGAAGGGAAGAGGTGTAATCTTATTTATGGTTTTAAAAAGGTCACTCTGACTGTGAAACATCCATAAGCACAGCTAAAATTATAAATACTGACAATAGTAAATGCTGGCAAAGATATGAAGCAACCAGAATTCTCAGACGTTGCTGGTAACAATTTAGAGTGATACAACCACTTTGGGAAGATATTTTGCAGAGTCTACTAAAGTTGGACATACATATCCTCCATGGTCCAGCAAACCACTCATAGGTATATTTCCAAGAGAAATGCATACATATGTTTAACAAAAAAACATGTAATAAAACGATCATTACAGCATTATTCCAAGTAGCCTCAAACTGGAAACTACCCAAATTCCCATCAGTAGTACAATGGATCAAGTGTAGAGTATTCATACAATGAGACCCTATACAACAATTAGAATGAGTAACCTACAACTACACAAAATGATATAAATGAATCTCACAAATATCACTGGGCAAAAGTCAGACACAAAAGAGTACATATGGAGTGATTCCATTTAGATGTACAAAGGCAAACCTTATCTATATTTTTAAAAGAGAGAATAGTGGTTACCCTTGGTACAGGTAGAGGATGGCCAGTAACTAGAAGGTAGCATGTGGGGGCAGAAAAGTAATAAACACATTAGCATGGTAAGGGAGGAAAAAATTTTTTCTCTGCCTTTCTAGTTTCTGCTGACTGGTCTATGAATTAAACTGATAGGAAACAGAAGAACAGGAAAAAAATCAAAGTTTAATAACATGTATACATGGAAGAAACCCAGGAAAACTAAGTCACCAAAATAGCCAAAGCCACCACCTTAAATACCATCTTACTAGACAAGAGAGGATGTTGGGGGTAGTGGTTTGGGAATTCCAAGGTGAGGAAGGCAATTCTCATGGAGATGGAAAAGCAAGAGTTTGGTGAACAAATGTTTGCCGTGCCATGCAGAGACAATGGGACATGGAGAGTACGCTAAGCTAGTCTCTCCATCCAACCGCACTTAGTCTTTTTAGATATCTGGTGATAGCTCTGTTCTTGTTACAGGCCATCTATCTAAATTCTTTTAGGCAGTTAAGGGGGAGATAACAAGAAAAACTTTCTGAATCTTTTGTTTCTTAAACGTAATCAGCCTAAAATACTCCTCATGTTAAAGAGGCACACTTTGAGGTGGCAAATTTTGTTCCCCTTAGCATTGAGACCACAGCATGGTGGCAAGGAGGGTTGAAGAAGAAATGGTGGAGATTCTTGTATTGACTGGTGATATATACATAGAAAGCACAGCATCAAAGACTCATACTTAGCAGCCATCTGTTACAGTCCGCCCCTCTATATGTCTGTTTTAACCACTCTTGGTGATGATAAACTCACAATTTATAAGGGAGATTGTTGTTTTGTTGAAAAAAAGGCTAATGAACCAAATGTTATTTATAATAGTCAGAATCTGACTCGTTATTCTAGTTGTTCTCTCTGAAACAACATAGAACAATCCGTTTGAATTTCTAGTAAAAGCTCTTCAAGGGGTTGAAGACAGCTAGCATATTTTCCCCTTAGTCTTCCTTTCTCCCAGTGAAACAACTCAGCAACTTGATCCACTCCTTGTAGAAAGTGTGTCCCAGACACTTCCCTATCCCAGTCACAGCCCTCTGAGAAGCTCTTACTTGCAAATGTCACTAATAAGAGGAAGAAAGAGGAAGTTGGGTCAGCTCTCCAGATGCAGGATACACAAAATGTGGAATTGTGAGTTCAAGGTGCTTAAGAGCTCAGAAATTTGAGTAAAATGCAAGAGCATTATAAGTATAGATTCAGATCTTCTGCTTGACATTCCTTAAACTTTAATGATTGAATACACTGATTTGTCTTTAGACAGGCATTAAGTCTGTCCCATCCGCAAACCTTCCTTCATATTCCACTCCTACATTCTGCCTTCATGGAGCCATAGCAAATCTTGGTCAGAATCTTTTGCTAAATTTGTACTGTTTTAAGTCAATTCATTTCCCATAGCTGTCTATCTGCCATAGTTTTATTCCTGCACCTTCCGATAATGTAATTTTTGAAGTTATATTTTATCTAAAACTTGGAACTTCCTGGTTATCAGTATTTTTAAACATGAGGATTAAAATGGAAAGAAAGAAGCAAGATAGGAAATAATGGAGGGAGAAGAACAAGAAAGTTTTCAGTTTGTTTTACATTCCAAATATATATTATCTTTGTGTAATAATATATGTTGTATATAGTATATATGCTATATGCTATGTATAAATGCTATGATACATGAAATAGATTAATTATGAGCATTAAGTTTTAAATATTTATTTTCAGTTACTCAAGGTATGATTTCTAGCATGGAACTGGATAAAGCATCAGTGTTAGGTATTTATCCTGATAATATGTCTTTAAAGTTCTGAAGTTAATATTTGAGCAGAAACTTCTATAAACTGAGGAAGCTGTGTTAGTAATTTTTAGTGAATTTTCCAAGTCTTTCCTTCCTTTTTTAACAGTCTAAGACCAGCTACTAGTTATGAGTTTGCTTTTCATCTTCTCTAAATAGCAACATTGCTATGCAAATATTTTTTATAAACTTGACCTTTGCATAACAAATTCAAGCAACCAAATTTTTGTATTTATTTTTGTGAACACCTAGATTTGGCTTAGCATTTATTCTTGCTTTGGAACATAGAAATAATCCATAATAAACTTATAAATTTTGTTTCTTATATAATCATAATTTAGAATGAATAATTTGAAGTGTTAAAAACTCTGGAAGAGTTTAGCTTGCTTAATTAATTAATTACTTATTAGTTATAGCACTCTTTTAAATGCAGAAGCATTCTTTTCTGCTATAACCAAATTTAGCTGCATGATATTCTGAATCATTCCCACTGATAGCATGTCATAACAAGTCGCTGCAACATTACCATGAGAAGTCAAGAATTAGGAAATTAGTAAGAAAATTACCTGATTACCACAAAAGGTTTAGTTCCAATTGGAATTATCCAATTGGATGACTAAGAAACTTCATTTTCTTGGCAGCTGATGCATATTTGTGCTTGATATCTCTGCTGGCTGGTGACCTGATGCTGTTAGGTAATTTTCCAGAAGGGGAAGGGAGTACAGCAGGAGTACTATTCATTTACTTTTGTGGTGCCTTCATAAGAAACCTGGAAGGTGATACACCTGGCTCCCAAACTAAGGGTCAAATAGTGTGAAAAATTTCTCATTTAGATGTGAAATACCACCAAATTGGGAGATTTCAAAAGCATATATTGTCTCATCTTCTTGCATTTCACAATAAATAAAATCATTTTAATAGGATTTCTAAAGTAAATACAGATTCCTTAATTTACATAGGGTTAAACCATGCAAAGAGCAAGAAAAATGTTTAGAGACTGATTGAAAATCTCAGCTTTCAAAATCAGAAGATGAAAAAATAATCATCTTGATATTGTTTACATTCTTGGTTAAAAGAAAAATGTAACTTTTATAATGAGTTTTGGTTTTTTTCTTTTTTTTTTTTTTTTTTTTGCTTGAGGAAGATTCGCCCTGAGCTAACATCTATTGCCAATCTTCCTCTTTTTTTTTGCTTGAGGAAGGTTTTCGCCAAGCCATCAAAGTGGAGCACTCAAACTTAACCACTCTGCCACTGGGCTGGCTGCTTCAATATGTTTTATATAACAAATTATTCTAATGCTTAAATTTTGTAAACAACTTTTTGTACAGCAGTTTTATGTAGTTACCTTTAATTAGATTTTCAATTTAATAGTTCTATTTTTATTCTGTCATTTAATAATGAGTTATTATATTGTTATTATATAACTAAATTATTATTATATAACTAAAGTTAGTATTTATAAACTTAAAGAAAATATTTTTTATTGAACTCATATTTCTAATTTCTCTAGCTGCCATTAAAACTTCGAAAATATTTAAAGATTATCCTAAATGTGTTTCTGTCCTTCTATAAAGTGCTTCTATAGTAACAGTAAACACAGACTAGGTATATATTTGTTGCTGCTGTAAATCATTTAATTTCACTCAGAAAATTAGTTCATACAAGTCTAATTAACTGAATAAAACAGCTTAGAAACTTTTGCTTGAAAGTTCGCATACAATCAAATTTATTTCCTTCAGTAATAAAATAAAGTCCACATTTGTTTGCTGGATGTTAGCTCTGACCCACAATTTTTCATTATGCTCTATATAAATTCTCTACTGTGGTCAAAAGGGTTTATCAGGGAGGAATTGCATTCAGTTATGAGTCAGAGCAACCTGGACAATAGCCCTTTAAACTCAGCAAGCTTCAGTCTCTCATAGCAGAATGTAGAGTTGGGCAGTCCAGGGCTGTCTGGCAGTGCAGGAGGGCATCAGGGGCCCAAGCTGCTTCCAGCTCTCTGCTCTGCCTTGCCTGTGTGTGGCCCTTCCTCAGAGTCTGTGTTGCCCACTTGTGCTCCAACTGCCCTTTGGCCTTCTAGGCAGTAGGATGGTAGAAGGAGAGAAGAAGGGCACACTCCCTCTCTTTGAGGAGACTGTCCAAAAGTCCCACACAGTGACACAGCACTTCTGCTTGCATTTCACTGGTAAAAACATATACTTAGATAAACCTGGATTCAAAGTGGAGATAGAAAATAGAGTTTTTTATCTTGTTATATGGTTGCTCTAAAATAAAATTGAGGAAGCAATAGAATGGATGTTGGAGCAAGGAACTAATAATCTTCTGACATGCTTGTCTGTCCATTGTCATTTTAATAAACCACATTTCCATTTCTTTCTTTTGGTTCAGAAAGCTTTCCTTTCCTAAAAAGTGTTCCTCCCTCTGCATACTACTCTTGTTGAAGTTCTAGCCTTTCTTCAATGGCCAACTTAATTTCTATTTCTCCCTGTTTTTTCTACCTACCCCAGACCTCACTCAAAACTCAGGTAGTATTTTTTTTTTAATCTATACCACCTATATGGAACTCACAACGTGTTCAGTCTCATTATTAATTTGTTTCTGTGTCTCTGTGCTATATTCCTAACCATCTCTGAGCTTCAGAAGATCAGAAACAGTGCCTTTTGCTTCTTTGCATCCCTGGGGCTTCAAGGGCACAAGATTGTATCTGTCTTATTCCACGAGGGATTTGAAGTGGCTTACATAAAACATTCAAAAGGATGATAAAATGTGAAAAAAATATGGAGCAGGGAAGATATAAACTGAAATAAGAAGCCAAAACATAAAGAGGGGAGAAGTTGGAAATATAAAATATAAAAATGGAGATTGTAAGAACCTACCTTTAAAATTTTTAATATCGAGCTACATATTTGATTCTAAGACACATATTTGACTAAGTTACATCTGCTATTCCTGGTAACCAAAGGAAAAAGGGAAATAGGGCCAATTGTAAATTATTGCTGAGAAAGGGGATAAAACATCAGTGGAAGCAAATCCCTTTCCTACCACTACATTTTAAAAGAAATTTCTCACTCAGGGCTTTACAGTGTATCATGAAGTAATACAGTAGGAAATGTCTTTAGTAGCATTGGCATGTCAAATATAGTATGTGTTTGACAAATACAGCAAATACATATCAAATACAGACTTATGAGACTGTTTCTTATAGTACACATCAATAAAAGGTATGACATCAAACACAGCAGTGAAGGTTATTTTATAGAGCGTCAAGATTCAGTAGTCATTTTCTTATTGTTTGAAATAGGGTAAGAATAAAAGTAATAATAATAATCAGAGCAGCAAAATAATTGGAGTAATGCATGTCCTTCCAACAGCCATTAATACCCAACTAACACTCTCTCACTTCTGAGCTAGGCCATACGGTGGAGAGTTTAAGGGTGCGTATATCCATATATTTGACATGTGGAGCTGTGTGGGGAAATGGCACAGGATAGAGATACTTCTTGACCGCCACTTATTCACTGTAGAGCATTGGGTAAGTTAGATAAGCTCTCTTTTCTTCAATTTCTCATCTGCAAAATCAGAATAATAATAGTACCTATTTTATTTAGTTGATATGAGCATTAGAACAGTAATGTTAGTAAGGTTCTTAGAATAAGAGCTGGCACATGGCAACTGCTATAAAAGTAGTTGCTAATTCACTTTAAGCATATAGTAATGTTGAAATACTTACATGAAAATTGAGAAGGATTTTTATGTCAATGGATGCCCACAAGTTATTCGTTCAGTTCTTCCTGATTATGAAGAGAATGGCAAAGGCTGTTATGATGAGTGAAACTGAAGGTTTTATTTTGTAATTCAAAATTTTAGAATCATGTTTTTCATATGCTTTCTTTTAAAATTCAGGTCACCGAAGTCTTACAAGTGGAAGAGAATGGAAAAGAAAAATGCAAATGTGTTCAGTATTATTCTACAACTCAAATCATAAAAGAGATGGTATGATGAGGCAAAAAGAAGCTCAAGAAAATGGCATAAAATGGTCATCTATGAACTTTTAGATTTTGCCTTCTCAGTATTTCAGTTTCTTTATCTAAAGTGAGTATGGAACTGTGAAGGCAAATATAATGAGTTGTAAGGAAGATAATCAGTCTCTCCCTTTCTCTCTCTCCCTTTCCTTGTTTTTCAATTAAAATGAAAATCTTCGTGAAATGCAAGAACTGCTTATACTGGATTAAAGGTAATATACAATGGTACTTCCTTGTTATGTTAGAGCAAAATAATGTAATAACTACTAATTTATACAATATACTTATATTTAAAAAACAAAAATACTATCAATCATAGAAAATATTGTAAATACCAATAAAGTGGTAAAAAAGCTTGAGCGATTTTCAGGTCCCCAATGTAGCAACAACTTGTTGAGAAGGGGATCATGCCAGCAGAATTTTAACTCTACAGCCTAGCAACAGCCCAACCCTGTCTGATCATCCAGAAAAAGTCCTTTTAAAATTCACCTTTTTCTATGTTCACTTCCTAAGACAGGCTCACTGTCATCTTTGTGATGACCTCATGATTGACCATAGCTTATTTCTCTTATGTCTGATGTGTTAGCTGACTCATTTTAGAATGAGTCTTAAGCTCCTGAAAGATAGAGACAGTTGTTTTTAATCTCTGTAGATCCAGGAACTGACACTGTGCCTGACATTCAGCAATTGTTCAATAATTGTTTATTGTTGAAAGAATAGAAGTCAGCAGAATATCTTCCCAAGAGTATGTTTTAGGTGCTTATAAGAATTCCTTTTTGTTTGGATGGATAAGGTAGAAGAAAAGGGAAAAAAAAAAGGAAAGAGCGAGCGTTCACTAAAGAAGAACGAGGGAGAGATTCATACAATAATCTCTCCCCTTCTCTCAGCCAAGGGGAATACTTTGGTGAGGTAACTCTGGAGGGATCTGGTAAAGGAGAAAGGCAAGAGAAGGTTGTTTAAATCTCTGTTGGTCCAAACAGCCACCCGCCTTCTCTTTGTAGTTCAGAGTTTGTTATCTTAATTCATAATCACTATAACCCAGTTTAGAAAAGTATGGCAAGATATCAGCCGTGGACTTGCTAAGAAATTGTTTACTTTGTTGTAAAATCAATTCCTAAACATTTATATGGCCTGCAGTGTTTTAAAAGTGAATGACAAGCAATTCTCATTTGCCACCGCTCGAGGAGGCAAATGCACTCAATCTTCACTCTGAATATTGGTAATTAAAGAAGGAATTCAATATCTAACTTTCCTTCTTGGAGGAATTTTAATTCATCACCATTTTTAAATTTCTAATGAACTGCTGATTTAGTCAAAGATCAGAGAAGGCTAAAGCCGTTTGGGGTAAGACTGGTGGGGAGCAGGTTCTGTCCCACATGTTATTCCACAGTTAGCTTGGCAATTATGTTATAGCCTTTACAACATAGAGATTTAACTGATCCTCTCTTAACCATGATCTATCTTAGCAAACTCACGGGAGGACAACCTGCCTTATTTGCCTTTTGGGCGTTAATATAAAGTCATCACTGCTGAGGTATTCCTGCCAAAAATGTTTCATCCTATATACTTGAAATTTGCTAGGAGGATAGATCTTAGATTAAACCCTCTCACCACACGCACACACAAAATGGTAACTATGTAGAGGTGTTGGATAAGTTATTCAGCTTGATTGTGGTGATCTTTCCACAATATATACGTATCTCAAAGCATGAAATTTTACACCTTAAATATATACATTCTTTATTTGTCAAAGATTTCTCAATAAAGTTATTTTTTAAAATGTCTCATCTGAATCTCATCAAGACTTTAGACGTAACTTCCAGCTTTACAGAAATAGAGGAGGTAGAAGAACAAGCTGAACCACGCCATGAGGAAATCGTCTTTCTTTCTGAAATCCAGAATGTGTGACATTCCTCAAAACAGCTAGACGAGTCTCTTCAAAAAGCCAGTGTCGTGGGGAAAACAAATACGGGGCTTTGTTACTGAAGTAGAATTGAGTCTAAAGAAACATAGCAACCAAATGCAATGCATGAATCTTGAATGAATCCTGATTTGGAAAAAAACCTATTAAAGGCATTTTGGAGACAACTGGAGATATTTGTATATGAATGAGTAATATATCACAGAGAATAGTTATTAATTTTCTTAGTTATAATGGTATGGTGATTATGTAGAAGCTTGTTCTAATTTTTAAGAAATGCATGCTAGAATATTTAGGCAAAGTGTGATGATTTCTGCAATTTATTTTAAATGGTTCCAGAAAAATATTTTTTGTGTAATACATAAAATTCTAATAGTATATAAATCATATAGATACAAATATACATACATATATACATATATATAACATATGGCAAAATATTAACTTTACTGAATCTTGGCTAAGGATATACAGGTGTTTCTTGTGCTTTTCACCTTTTCTGTGTGTCTGAAAACTCACACACATAAAAGGATTTTTTTAATTAAAGGTGAAACAAGCCAGAAAAGAGTAGTAACCCAGTGAGATTAAGCATTATCACTGTTGTTAGTAATAACTATATATTGATCATCTACTGTAACTAGAAACCACACTAGTTGCTATACATACATTACCTGAGTCACTTTTTAAAAATTGTGTTAAAATACACATAACATAAAATTTACTATTTTAACCTTTTCTTTTTTTCTTTTTTTTTTTTTGGTGGGGAAGATTGTCCCTGAGCTAACATCAGTTGCCAATCTTCCTCTTTTTGCCTGAGGAAGATTCACCCTGAGCTAACATCTGTTCCTATCTTCCTCTATTTTGCATGTGGGATGCTGCCACAGCATGGCCTAATGAGCAGCGTCTCAGTCTGCACTTGGGATCCTAACCCATGAACCCTGGGCTGCTGAACTGGAGTGCGCAAACCCACCCCCTATGCTACTGGGCCAGCTGCTTAACCGTTTTTAAGTGTACAGTTCAGTGGCATTAAGTACATTCATACTGTTCTGCAACCATCACCACCATCCATCTCCAGAAATCTTTGTCTTGCAAAACTGAAACGCTATACTCATTAAACAATAACTCCTCCTTACTTCCTTTCCCCATCCCCTGACAGCCACCATTCTACTTTCTGTCTCTATAAATTTGACTACTCTGGGTACCTCGTAGAAGCAAAATCATACAGTCTTTTTGTGACCAGCTTAGTTCATTTAGCAAAATGTCCTTAAGATTTATCCATGTTGTAGCATATGTCAGAATTTTCTTCCTTTTTAAGGCTAAATAATTTTTTATTGTATGTACATACCAAATGTACTTATCCATTCATCCGTTAATGGATACTTTTGTTATTTCCACCTTTGGCTTTTGTGTGTAATGCTGCTGTGAATATGAGTGTACAAATATCTCTTCAACATCCTACTTTCATTTCTTTTGGGTGTATGCCCAGAAATGGAATTGCTGAATCATATGTTACTTCTAATTTAAATTTTTTGAGGAACCACCATACTGTTTTCCATAGAGATTGCACCATTTTGCATTCCCACCAAGAGTGCACAAGGGTCCCAATTTTTCCATATCCCTGCCAATATTTATTTTCTGTTTTTTCAATAGTAGCCATCCTAATGGGTGTGACATAGCATCAGTGGTTTTGATTTGCATTTCTCTAGTGATTAGTGATGTTGGGCATCTTTTCATGTGCCCATTGGCCATTTGTATATCTTCTTTGGAGAAATATCTTTTCAACTCCTTTGCCCACTTTTTAATTGGGTGGTTTTATTGTTGTTGAGTTGTTGGAGTTCTTTATATAGTCTGGATATTAACCCCTTATCAGATAAATGATCTGTAAAGATTTTCTCCTAGTCCGTGGGTTGCTTTTTCACACTATTGATTGTGCCATTTGATGCACAGAAGTTTTTAATTTTGATGTAGTTTAGTTTATCTATTGTTTTCTTTTGTTGCTCTCTGATTTGCTTTTTATATCACCCTGAGAGACTGGTATTGTAGACCAATTTTAGACATGAAGAAACTAAAGCTTGGAGAATATAGTTAACTTGGCTAAGTCCACACAATTACTACAAGATAAAGCTGAATTTTAAATTCACTTCTGTCTGACATCTTTCTACCACTGATTTAAATATTTATGTTGCTCCAAAATTAAGAATTCATTAGAATAAACTTTCTGTCCCATCCTGAATGTGCAGATTTGTCAGTTCTACAAACATAGAATCTGATTAAATTGATTGAGAGAAACTCTTCCACAGATGGCAGAGCTTGGACAGCCAAATATCTTATATATTACCTTCTTTGACATGTGCTTAGAATCAGGGAAAAATAAATAGTCACACAAGACTTCTGGCAGACTGTCACGTTCTGGAATAACTAAGACAAGAGTTGAAGGGGTCAAACATGACATTCGGAATGTTTGAATATGGCAGCTGGTCCATTGTGTGAGACAGTCTCTAAGATTACACTCAATGGTTAATAGAATTGCTAACAGGAGTTTGATATAGAGCCTTCTCAGTAGATAAGAGTGAGGAATAATTTAGCTAAAATAAGAAGTATCTTTGCACAGGGACCATAGGAAAGCTCTTTTTCCCCCTATTTTCTGAACCATGAGCTTTGGTCTAGAAGGACTATAACAAAGCATAACTTGGATCTGTTTTCTTCTAAACTTTTTTCTACTCATTGGAAGGAAACAGGAAGCAAGTTTAAGGGTCCTCCTTTGTACCCTACATATCTATTAAGCTTATCATCTGAGTTTCTTATGAATTTTATTCTGGATATAGGAGACAATCAAAACATTTCAACAGAGACTTAAAAGCTTCCAACATACCAAAACGGCAGTATTTGATTTCAAAAAGAAAACTGCATTATAAAGGTTTAAATTGGTAAAGTTTGGGTATTGTAATCTGGCAACATCTATTTAGAAATATACATGAACTTTGACCAACAGACTCACTTTTCATAAACTTTTTCATAAACATTTAACAACAAAGGGGTCAAGGGGCCTGTAAACAACCCTAATGCCTGTCCGTGAGGGAATGGTTCAATCAGTACATTTATACAATGGAAAATTATACTGCTTCTTTAAAAATAAATTCCATGTTTGTGTATGAACTTAGAGATGGTATTTCTGTTCAATGAAAACAGCAACTTGTAGAAATGTATATATTTTGACTCTTGTGAACTCAGAAAGGGACGAGGAAGGATAGTGGAATGTTAACATGGGTTGCTTTCGGACTGGAGGAAGAGTTGAAGGAGATACAGTCAGTGTCTTTAGAGCTCATATTGCAATCTTGTTGCAACAACTAAGTACTACTTTGTAATGTCGTAATCTA